ACACACACACACACACACACACACACACACACACACACACACACACACACACACACACACACACTTAAAGCTGCTCAAAAGCCGCCTCCTGTTCGCTTTGATGATAACAGCGCGGCTTAAAGATGAAGCCGAAACAGTCCAGTATGAGCTTCATCTCGAGGGGCGGCGGTGGCGGTGGCGGGGGTGGGAAAGCAACAATCCTATTTACCGTTATGGTCTTTTCCGAGAGAACGAGAGGAAAAGAGGGTTCATTATTTATGAATATTGCTTTTCACCGTGTCAGCTCAGTGCCTCGGTGTATTGATCCAGACAGCAAAGTGGTCACTGCACCAGGGAGGACCGGACCATCAAATAAGACTCGAGAAAACGGAGGGCACATCAACTTATCAGTCTTTAGTTACGGCAGACGCTTAACGTCTGTCTTTTGAAAACTATTATTCTAATTCCATCCATTTAATCCGCTTAACATTATGAAGGTCGCGGGGTACTGGAGCCAGCAGTCTTCGGGTAGTAGGGCGGGGGTATACCCTGAAGCGGTTGCTAGACAATCGAGGGGCACACATGGGCGAACAACCAACAACGCACACGCACACACACCTCGGGACAATTTAGAGTGTTCAATCAACCTATCATGCATGTTTTTGGAATGTGGGAGGAAACCGGAGTACCCGGAGAAAAGCCACGCAGCCAAAAGGAGAACAGCAAACTCCACACAGGAAGGCCGTAAGTCGGAATCGAACCCTGCGCCGTGAGGCGGACGTGCTCACCGGTCGGCTGCCGCGCTCTCATTCCCAGTGATGAAAATGTCCAGCTGCAGACTAGTTCCCCTGGGTGGGCCAAATATGGTCGAGTGCCGTCATTAATTTGGTTTCCTGCAGGTGACGTCTGAGTCAGCACTTGAGGAAAAACTCCACCCACCCCGCTACGTGATGACTTTGTCACTTTAAAAAAGTCAAATTTGCTCACCGTGAGAAGATCCCTGTGGCGGCCAAAAGCATCTCTAATGTAATAAAGGAGACGTGTTTTTTTTCTCTTTGAATTTAAAGTTGTTTGTAAAGTGTATAATTAGGATCCTCGCCCAGCCTAGCCCACAAATCACGCACGGGGAACATCAGAGCGAAGGCGGAATTATGGAAAGTTCTAATATTTGGGTCACTTGATTTAGCGACACATTGCTCAAAACCAAATTAGGCTGTGACACTACACTGCCAATGACCGCCACAATAAAACCCGTTGTGAAATGATCTCTCTGACAAAAATCGAGCACTAAAAAGCATGAACTTGGTCAGGGTATAACTTTTGCAACAGCGTTTTATGAGATTATCCTCGGTGAGCGTACAACAAGACCTCTCTCTCATCTCGTAGCGGCAGCGGCCGCTTCCTGACTCCCCGGGTGTTTGTTGGGGATTTCCTGTTTTGGGTTAGGTTTCCAAAAGCAGGAGTGACAACGTGTCAGTCGCGCCCGCTGGGCCGATGGCAGAGTGCACACGTGAAAGACGGCTCTCTTTGGGCTTCAGATGCTTGCTTTTTCAAAAGGCTTATTTGTGGCGCGGCCACAGAAGGCTCCCCGTTGACAACAAAGACCAAGTGTGCAATGACAAAGGGAAACTTACCACTATCACGCGACCGTTCGGTTTCAATTCCTTACACACGTTTTATTATCTACCACTTATTAATAAGGGCAGCACCAAAAAAAAAAAAAAAAATCCACTTGGAGATCGTATCGGTGTCTGGTCAGATGTCTTTAAAACGTGAGTACTTTCAAAATACAGCGGTTGTCTTATCATGACACTCTAAGAATGTTAAAATATTAATATGGACTCAACAATTTCAAGTATTGAATCAATTTGAACCTTGAATGGACTAATATAACTTCAACTATTTTTTTTTATATACCGTATTTTCCACACTATAAGGCACACCTAAAAGCATTCAATTTTCTCGAAACCGACAGTGCGCTTTATAATCCAATGCGCCTTATATAAGGATCAATATTCTGATTTCTTGGACGTAGTATTTTAAAAGTCCTGTAAAACGTTTTGTTACAGCTGCAGCAGTTGTGAAAGCTCAAGATAAATAAAGCTGGATTGTATTGTATTCCTTTAGCATAGCTCCATCTAGTGGATGTGTAACGCTATTGTAGCTTCTAATCCACGCAAACTCATTTTTGTCGCGGGCCACATTGTTGTTACGGTTTCCACTGAAGGGCCGTTACGAATTTTGGGAAACCATATAAATGTTTAATCACTTCCGCATATTACATACACAGCACACAACAAATTGATGGAGAACTAGTTTTAAAATTTGAAGTCAAGAATAATGACTGTCATTGTGGATTACATATGACCATTTGAAATTTTGGTTCAGACTTTCGCAAGCGTCATGTGCCTCACGCTGC